TATATATATATACATATATACATACATACATACATATATATATATAACTATAGCATATGTACTACACAAGCTTTATAGGAACTACTGTATACTCTCATTTTGGTGTAATAGTCAAGAAATTCTGCTTTCTGGGGACAGCGACATATGTAACTGAAGGTACGTCTGCTTACAGTTCTTGTTTTTGCAAATCCCCCAAAGGCTGCTGCGTACGCTTTGATCTCAAATTTCTCTCGCGCGTCCTCTTCTTTCGTAACTCCAGCAGAGTGTACAGTATACACTTTAGCCGACCAGCCCAGCTTGCCACTGATAGAACCACCCATTTCCTTTCCTAAACCCAACCGATAGTGTTTTCAAAAGTAATATATAAAAAAAAAATTGAAATGTTATTTCACCACATTTTCAACATGTCGTTTATTTAAATATATATTTATTTTGCTTTTGTTTTATTTGGTTTCTGGAACTGTTCTTTGATGGACTCAAACCTTGTTGTTGTGGTCAACTTCGCTCCGCATCCCAAGTCCACTGACGTATGCAGCGAGCTGCTCGGCAAACTGGTAACAGTGGAAAAGCCGTCCATATGGAGGATAGCAGTCAGTGGTAGCACTAAAACAAACAAAAGCCGTGGGAGGCGTCATACAGCTGCGTATAATTCATTTTAAAGCCAAAATGCTGCCAGACGTACCTCCGGTTACATAATTCGTGCTCTCCAGAAATGTAGACAGGGCTACGTATTAACAATGTGCCTATTTTGAACATTTCATACAAAATGGCTTTAAAGTGCTTTACATAAACAAAAACAAAAGAAACATTAAACACAACTGGTAACAGCAGATAATCCGTCCATATGGAGGAAAGTGGTCGGCGGTAGCGCAAAAAGGAATAGAAGCTGTCGGAGGCCTCACACAGCTACATAACGTTCATTTTAAAGCCAAAAGGCTGCCAGACGTACCTCCGGTTACATAATTCGACCTCTCCAGAAATGTAGACTGGGCTACGTATACACAATGAGCCTGTTTTGCACATTTCATACACAATGGCAATTTAAAGTGCTTTACATAAACAAAAACAAAAGAAACATTAAATACACCTGTTAACAGTGGAAAAGCCGTCCATATGGAGGAAAGCGGTCAGCGGTAGCGCTAAAAGGAACAGAAGCTGTCGGAGGCGTCATATAGCTGCATAGCGTTCATTTTAAAGCCAAAATGCTGCCAGACTTACTTCCGGTTACATAATTCCTGCTCTCCAAAGATGTAGACAGGGCTACATATTAACAATATGCCTGTGTTGCACATTTCATACACCATGGCAATTTAAAGTGCTTTACATAAACAAAAACAAAAGAACCATTAAATACAAGTATAACAAATAAAAGAATAAAAATGGTTCAAAATGTTAAAACAGGGCTTACTGTACTGTAAAAGAAAGGACTTAGTGTGATCTTGAATAAAATGAGCAACTCCTTTTTAAAAGTTTTTTTTTTTTTTTTTAAGAAATGCTAATGGTCTAATGTGATTTAATTTATTATGCTATGCTAAGCTAAAAATGACCCTCTCAGAAGAAATCAGCTGAATGGATTCGAAAACAATTTTAAAAAGTTTATGTTATATATTTAAAATAATTATTAATTTTTTTTAAACTAGAACTCCTTTTGTTCAGACGCAAATTTACTTATTTTTTGTAATTTTTCAATAAAAGGCTAATAGTCTAATTCAATTTGATTGATTATGGTAAGCTAAACTAAAAGTGACCCTGCCAGAACAAGAATTCAGTTGAATAGATTACAAAATGCTTCAAGTATTTTATAATTATTTGTTATTTTTTCTCATCTAGAGTCTTCAAGAAGAGATTGACGGTTTGAAAGATCAGCTAGACACAGAGAGGAAGAAGAAATCAGAGCTGGAGGCCAAATTATCCGAACTAGAGGTATGTCAATGTTTCAAGCCAGGTGTACCTGTAAGAGAGCACCGACTAACAGCATGGCTCCTAATACATTCATTCCTATGATCTACATGATCATCAGATTATATTTGCATACCAGCATGTTAGTCTTTATTATTCATCTCTGTTGGCTGATACCGTGGATATTAGTAGGTGATGAATGTCTGATCTTTTGCATCTCCCTTTGTTCTCGTTCATTGGCGACCCGGTGTGCAAGACAGTGGAGTAGATGACAAGAGATTGGGGTTAATTGTTAGACAGTGATGAATAATTTGCTTCTCATTAAGTCCTATAATTAGGAACAGCGCATACTGTTTCCTGCAGATATTTGTCAATTAGAATGTAAGTGCCGCTGTAATTATTTTCCATAATAATGCTCTACCGGTTTAGGAGGTTTTTGTAACAATAAACGTTTGCTGCTGTTGTTTTTTTTCCTTATTGAGGTAAAATATTTGCAGTTCATTTTAAGTGGCAAGTACAGAGATGGTGTGTTTTTGTAAATATCATGGTGTACTATGGTACTTTGGTAGTAAAATGCATGTTTGCTTTTGAGAACAACATAATTGTACCATGAAACCATGTAGTACTATAGTAGAGCTGTAATTGGGCTATAAAGGTTAGGCCCGATAGGGCTTGGGCCCGAGCCCGTCAGAATTTGGCCTGAGCCCGACAAGTATGTTTTGATTGACAGCTTTTTAAAAGCTCAAACCCGTTTGCAGCCCGACATTATTCAAACGTGGTCATGCACACAGCTCTCTTGCCTTTTTTCAAAAATGGGTTGTTTATATGCGTTTTAATTTAATTTGTTCATAACAGATGTAGGCTACAGGCCTCTTGGATGCTGGAACAAAAAATAAAATTAGTCCTCTGTAACATCGTAACATCTCAGCACTCTAAATAGGCCCATGTATATACACTTAGCTATTAAATTGGCCAACACACCAATAAAAATTTGTCTTTCTAAACAAATTAAATTAAAATACATTCTAAATTATGACGGGTATTTGGCAATAACGAAATTAAGATAAAGGCTCTGCGGGATTTGTTTCGCCACTTCTCTTCACAGTCTGGCATTAAGGCGACAGTGAAGCTGAATATTAAAAGAATAATGCCAATATTAGCCTGTATACTCTGACTACATTATGATTTTATGGTTTGAATAATATTTAGTTATAATTTAAAAATCCCTTACTCACCAAAATAAGGCTACGTGTTTTTGTGGAGGAACACTGTTGAATCCACTGTAGATGGCTTTAGCGCGATGCTGGGCTCACCAAACATCCATTTAATTTTCCATGACAGCAGTTTCAATGTAGCAAGTGACCTCGTCATCTTCCCATTGCTGTTTAGCGCTCTATCAAAATACACAGTGTATGAGCGACCCCCGAAATACCTTGGAGGCTAGGATGACTGTTCTTTTTGAACTGGTGACTGGCCTGACCCAAGTCAAAATTCACTCTTTTTGACTTCTCTGTCATCATTTGTTTTGGATTTTAATGTTGTAGCAAACAATTTGATTACTTTCTTGCGCTAATGGAAATGCACCACATGACTGTTTATTTAGTGCACAAATCTGAGCCCGAAATTAAACCCGAACCAACTAGAACCCGTCGGGTCCGGTCAATTTCTGGCAGAGATCTTTAGCTCTATACTATAGTACTGTGTCCAAATTAGATTTAACTATATTTATAGCCATGATGTAAGTATTATATTATATTATATTATATTATATTATATTATATTATATTATATTATATTATATTATATTATATTTTAAAATATGTTTAGAGACTGATGAAGTGTTTCAGGTTAAATTTTGTCCCCTTTTTGCTGCAAACAAGTCTTAAGGTGGGCAACAGTGCGGTTTCTTTGTTGTCACGTTTTGCATTTCAAATTGTACCACACATTCTCTATTGGAGACAGGTCGGGACTGCAGGCAGGCCAGTCAAGTACCTGCATCCTCTTTCTCTGCAACCAGGACTTTGTAATTTGTGCAGATTGTTATTTTGCTTTGTCTTGTTGAAATATGCATGAGCGTCCGTGGAAAAGAAGGCATTAATGGTGCCATCACAGATGTGCAAGTTACCTTTGCTAAGGGCACTGACACAAGCCAATACCATGACAGACCCTGGCTTTTGCATTTGTTGCTGGAAACAGTCTGGACGATCCTTTTCTTTGGTCCGGAGCGCACAGAGGTAATTTCACCCAGTACTGATTTATCTGACCACAGTACACGTACACGTGTGTGATGGTCCATCCCAGATACCTCCGATGTCATAGAAGTCAACGGCGCTTCTGGACATCGTTAACATAGGGCTTCCTTTTGGCACAGAAGTTTTCACTGGCATTTGTGGATGTAACTATCTATTGTGGTACTTGACAAAGGTTTGCAAAAATAGTCTTGAGCCCATGTGGTGATATCGCTTATAGATGAATGAGGAATCTTGATGCAGTGCCACCTGAGGGACCGGAGATAACAGTTGTTCAGCTTAGGCTTGCTCCTAAAGGACTAGACCTTTCTTGAGTGCTGCTTTTGTATTAAATCATACAGATGTGGCTACTGAGAATGCACCTGAATGAACATTACCATATGCTGTGCTGCAGTACTGCGTAGCACAGCACAAAATGGTCTAACACAAAGACATGACCAGCAGGGGTTAGTTATGTAACATAGTGAACAAACTGAACTGATATACTGTAGCAGCCAGAGAATGTGAGCGGAGCTGAGCGGTGGGATGCTGGTCATGCGCTCCACTTAGTCACTAACCGCACAAAGCAATCGCTCAGTTAACCCTCGCCGGTAAACCAATAGCGCTCAGATCCTGCTCTAGCATACAATTTCTCTAGTAGTCCCAACCTTTACTGATTTGGGTTTGTAAAATAAATGAGACTTTTAAAAAAGTAAAAAAAAAAAAAAACTGTACACTCTGCAGTGTATATAAATGTTTGATGTTCGCATGTCTAGATTGTGTTCACTTATTCATCTGTTTGTTTCTGCTTTTATAGGGAGCGAATGTGGAATACTCTCGTCTGATTGAGGAGAAGGACTCGCACATTACTTACTGTGAGACTTTGCTGCGTGAGAGCGAGTCTGAGACACAGCAACTGCAGGAAAGAGCATCAAGGTGAGCTTTCCAAAACACAATGAAAGCGCAGCTCAGAAAATGCATCTGCATCTATAAAAGCCATCTCTAATGGATTTACAAATGGATCTTCATAGGGATTTCCTAGACCAGAGATTCAGTTTAAGTAATTATTAGTGAAGTTATATTTGTATGCATTATTATTAACTGTTTTTGTTTATCCCTCTCTCTTAGATCCAAAGAGGCTCTTAGTGATGTAGAGAAGGAGAGGGAAGAATTGAAGCAGAAATTGGATCAAGTGTTGATGGAGACTCAGAACCAGCATCTCCGCATGTCTGCTGAACTGGAGGACCTGGGACAAACTAAAGTCAACCTGGAGGAACGGCTCATTGAACTTATTAGGTCTGTGTTTCACCTAAAACTGCAGCTATTTTTTCTTTAGATCAAGTTTTATGGCTGAACATTTAGTTTTGTAAATTAAATAAAGTGTAAATCATTTTTAGTACATAAAACACTAAATGATTCAATTATTTACTTACAACTACACTTACACTTTTATTTTTTTATCATATAAAGTAGAAATCAAAATGATTAGCCTTTCTGTGAAATCACAATTCTTTTTCAAATATTTAACTTTTTTTTTTTTTTTACTGAGGTTTTTTTCAACATAATTTTAATACACAATTTCTAAAAACTAATTTATTTTGCCTTTGTCATGATGGCATTATATAATATTTGTCTAGTTATTTTCAGCTTAAAGTGCAATTAAAGGCTTAACTGGGTTAATTAGGTTAACCAGGCAAGCCATTGGGTAACAGTTATTTGTTCTTTAGCCAATATAAAACAAATCTCACATGGGCTAATATTATTGACATTCCTAAATAAATAAATAAATAAATAAATAATTAAATAAATAATAAGAAATTGTTAATCGAAATGTTTTTTAAATATTTAAAAAAATCATACAGCAATTATGATGTCTAAAGTAAAATAAATAAATTAATATATATGTATTTATGTATGTATGTGTGTGTATATATATATATATATATACATATATATATATATATATATATATATATATGTGTGTGTGTGTGTGTGTGTGTGTGTGTGTGTGTGTGTGTGTGTGTGTGTATATATGTGTATATGTATATATAAATTATAATATATATTTATATGACAGATTATATATTATATATATTATAATTTATATTAATATATATTAATAATAATATTTAAAGGTAATTCCTAATTTAAAGGAATTACAACAGTTTGCCTATGTACTTCACACTTGTTAAGAACCATGCTTCAGAACTCATTGGATGGTGCTTTATAGTGCAGATGGACAATGACCCAAAGCATACTGCAAAAGCAACTAATGAGTCTTTCGAAGGGAAAGAAGTGGAATGTTATGCAATCAATCACCTGATCTGAATTCGATTGAGCTTGCATTTCACTTGCTGAAGACAAAACTGAAGAGAAAATGCCCCAAGAACAAGCTGGAAATGAAGACAGTTGCTTTTGAGGGCATCCCCACCAGGGATGAAACCCAACGTCTGGTGACGTGTATGCGTTCCAGACTTCAGGCTGTAATTGGCTGCAAAGGATTTGCAACCAAGTATTAAACAGCGAGTGTGATTTATGATTTTTACTCTGTCCAATTACTTTTGGACCCTTAACAAGTGGGATGCATATATGCAAACTGTTGTAATTCCTTCATTCACAAAAAGGGAATATGTCAGCATCTACGCTTTGCACAGGACAAAAGCCAATCACAGTACTTTTCCAGTGTTGTGTTTTTATATATATATATGTGTATGTATGTATGTA